ATAAGTTGGGAAAAATCTACCACCTATAACATACATAATTTCTTTCAATTCCTTTGGATCTCGCACACTATACTTAAAAATTACAATTCTCCTCTCCCCTTATTAATCTTCCTCCTAGAAGGCTCTCTTCTCTCATTCGAGCTCATGCGCGCTGCAACCAAGGCGGCAAGTCCCAGCCTTTTGTAAATTTTCGCTGGTTAGCCATAACAGAGAGGGACGGGCGGCGCGGTCGACGATAATTCAGCGGCGAGCGACTTTAATCGCCGCGCCTCGTGATGGATTTAAACGATCGTGTGACAAAGTAGCGAACCGTGTATCATTTTATATAAACAAAGAGAGAGAGAGAGAGAGGAGAGGAAAGGGAGAGAGATTGTATAATCTTGGTCGGCGAAAGGGGGAAGGGGCGTTCAACCGAGCCGTGTTTTCCCTCCAAACTTACTACCTAGAAATCTGCCCTGTGTATTTACGCGTGTGCACACGCGCAAACAGTGAGTTTACGATCGATCTGTCACGTCGTATGCGAGCAACTGGTAATAAAGTTAGATGTGGAACAACCGACTGTCACCACTCTCGCCAAACTTATTTTGCCAAACGTGTTGCTAATTGTCTCTGCTCGCGATTCAGATGGCATTCTCGAGAGAGACGCGGCGAAAAAGTTGGGGGAAGGGGAAGGGTTGGTTGTCGAGGTGATTTGAAAGGAGAATTAAAATAAATGTTGATAGGTTTGAGAATGAAATTTTCGAGTGATTTTCATTTATAGTTTATGTTGGAATGTATAATAACTTGATTTATAAATATAATTGGTAATAAGTAAGTATGTTAGCTATTTGGGAAATAATTCAATAGAAACTTATATCTGAGAATATAAAATGTCTTTTTAAAAATGTCCGAATCCCAGTGCTTCGAAATATATGGAAAATCAGATGTCTTCTAATCTAGGGATCCCTAGATTCTAAAAAGGATTTTCTAAAAAGTATATAAAGCTTTCTTAAAGTTTGGTTAAAAATAAAAACATATGAGAAATAGAGAGAATAGTAATTTTTACTCTCAGCGCAATCAATTCATTCGAGAAAAAGAAATTTTACAGAATTGTTTAAATAATTTCAGAGGATCGATAATTAAGAATAAATTAAAAAAAAAAGAAAAAATTGTCAAGAATATTTTTCGAATAGTAAATAGTAAATAAATTTTCGAAACCTCGTGTCAAATTTTCGATAAAGGAAAAAAAAAAAAAAAGAAAGATCCATGTATCAAGCCACACGTCGATATATTCCGTCTGACCACGGAAAAGGGCGGAGGCGGATGGACAGATGAAAGGGGCCGCAGAAGGTTGGCGTGGCTTCGCGGTTGATTAAACCAAAAGCGACCACGAGACAGGTATCCAGCCTTCTAGCCGACTGAACGCGTGCTAGCGTTCACCACGTATGCGTGCATGCGAGTATCTTGCCAAGTAAAGATGGCGACTCCACCGAAATGGCTGCACCTTCTTTGTTGATAAAGCGCGGGAAGCCTCATACCTGTGAAACGTGTGCGTCGGCGATAGAGCTTTAAGGGTGGCGTGGATGGGGTTGGTAACGGGAGAACAGAGAGGGGAAAAAAGAAGTTGGATATCACCCCTAGTTACGAGCGGTAACGAGGGGCGGAGTCGTTCGTGTCTCCGCACACCTGCCTCGTTTCGAACTGGCCATGGTCACTCAACCCTCTGTTCTTATCCCCGTTAAAGGCTACGCCATGACAAACGCGTTTACGGTAACCGCGGTGCGGTTGAAGGGTCGCGAGAAATGGTCGTTTCAGCGGGTTTTAATGGTTGATTTGGTCGGATCGTTCTTTCGAGGGGTGTATCTTCCACCCTTTTAAAAATGTCCGATCCCAATGCTTCGAAATATATGAAAATGAGATGTCTTCTAATCTAGGGATCCCTAGATTCGAAAAAGGATTTTCTAAAAAGTATATAAAGCTTTCTTAGAGTTTGATTAAAAATAAAAATATATGAGAAAAAATGAAGAATTAGATGCTTGGATTCTAGATTCCTAAAAAGCATATAAAAATTTTTAATAATATATATTTTAAAAAGTAAGAAAAAATATATCTTGAAAATAGTATATCGAAATAAAATTTCACCAAATATTAGAACTGATGCAATTTTCGCGAATTCTGATTCCTTTTTTAAAACACGGAAAGCACGAAAAGTCGTTCAATCTAGACGTATTGCCTCAAGTGGGAGCGAGAAATACAAAGGACCCCGTTCCGATTAGCGATCGCCATGGAAACACAAACGCGTTGAGGCGCGCCCCCTAGCGGAAAAGGAAAAAAAAAGCCGATCATAGCTGCGCCTATATACGCGTATATAACGCGATTTGTATATATCTATACAACGTCTCTATCTGCGACCAGGAACGGTTTGGCGCTTATACACATCGGCCGTATTTAAATCTGTGTGTCCCCTCGCTCCTGCGCGCCTACGTGCGGTTGTATAGCCGGAGAGACAGATTGGGAGAGAAAAGTTGGGACGCGGTGGTGCGCCGCGCGAGGAAAAGGAAACAGAGAAACGGTCGAAAGAGAAAGAGGAAGAGACGGATGGACGCGGAAGAGGCGGAGAGATAGAGGCGCTCGACAAAAGAGTAGTGGGGTGGTAGCGCTGGCAGGGAGAGACGGAATCGGTAGAAAGCAGCAGTTCCCGCTCTCGGGAGCCGGCTGGGCTGTTATCATGAGAAACAAGCTTCCACTCTGATTTTTTAATCCGATCCGCACCCCCTGCCACCCGGTTGAATTTTAAAATAACTGCAGAACGCCATTTGCTCCTCGCAAACAGACCGGGGGTTAAGCCATCGTATTCCGTCTCCCTTTCTCCCTCCTCCGTGCCACTTTGCTATCTTCCTGTACCTCTCTGTTTCACCGGTACGCCGCGCGATCCTGGCGTCGCCACCTCCACCCCCTTCTTCCTACTCTCTTCGCCGTTTCTGATTCTCTTTCGCGAGCATTCCACGAGAACTCGAACTCTCGACGCGGTTCGGATGGATGGGATATATAGCGACTCTGGGAAATGTTGTATATTGGGAATAATCGTTTTATTGGTTTTATAAGTTATTATTAATTTCAAGTTTGATTTATTTCATAATGGAAAATTTGTTAAATACGTTAACGTGCGTTAGAATTATTTTCAAGTATTATTCTATTTTGGATTTTATTTTATATTTTTTTCCTAATGTTTCTCGATTGATGAATGAACTTGTGAAAATATTAATCTGTTAATTATTTTAGGTAAACATACATATTGTTGAAATACATCGTTGAACAAACTTTTATAATCTTTTATTTCATCCGTTATACCAAAATGTTGTACGTGTCACAACATTTTTATTATCAAAATAAAAACAAATTGTCATTTTCAAATTAACTGTACCGACACGGTTGAGAAAATATTTTTCGCGCAAACATTTTTATTTTTCTCTTCAAATACCATTATCCAAGCCGGATAAAAACATCTACAATGTAGATTCTCATCCATGCGATGTCAAATTGAAATGTTTAGCGCCTCCTTTCAGCTGTTGCGAATCCCTCGTGTGAAAAAGAGAGAGAGAGAGAGAGAGAGAGAAATACGGGAAACAATCAGAAAGAATACAGGGAGAAGAGAGATGGAAGAGAAGATAGGTTGTGTAGGCCTGCCTCGGGGAAGGGTAGATAAGTGACAGTTTTATTAATTTCCCATCTCATCCCATCCCAACCCCCTCGACACCAGGAACGTCAGTCCACACGCGTTTCTCCTTCCATCTCTGTTCTTCCTGGAACGAAAGAGGGTGGAAATAAAACTCGATAATGGCGGCCGCCCGTCACGGCCATCACCAAGGTGCACTTTCGTGTTGGTTTCTGCTGGGATTTTGATCGACCATTATATACATACATACTCTATCTCATCGGTATTTACTATTGTACACGTAATAACGAATAATTTCAATCGAAATAAGAATTTTAAGTATCAAATAAGATAAAACTTATATCTCCAAAGAAGGGCATCTAAAAAAAAAAAAAAANAAAAACAAGACCGGAACTTTAGAAAGGATGTCGAGATGTCGCTAAGGGGATGGAACAAGGGAAAAAGCTCAACTATGCTCTGCAAAGGAAGAAAGAAGGGGGAAAAAACGGAGGGAGAGGGGGAGGGGGAGAGGAAGTAAGCATCTCCCAGCCGCGCTCGCCGCTGGAAAATTTAATTTCGATCCCGTCGATTCAGCAGTTATACCGAAGTTTAATCTTTGATAAGGGTTAGTCTTTTAGTAATGGGATCCCAGGGGTCTCTCCGTGGGCGAAGCGTTTCGAGGGGGTCGAAAAGAGAGAGGATCACTCGTTCCTACTCTCTCTCGTTCCACTCTCGTTTCCAGTCTCCTCCACTCCTCTGGAATGGAAGGAAGGAGCTTAAACCGTTAGATAGAGATCTGCTCTTGGGATGAAAGTAGTAGCTTATATCGTTCCTCTAACCGAGCAGGACTCCTTGGACTTTTATACCAAACTGTAGGGGAAGGCGTAACGAGCCCCACGATTGGATAAGTTTCCCGACACGAGCTTCCACTGGAGCCTTCTTCTTCCTCCTCTTCTTCTTTGTTCCCCTCCCCCCACTTGCGGTCCAATGTGTCTCTTTGTTGCGTCCAACTGGCTCGAGTAACGTATCGAGACTTGCGTGCACCTTTTACATTTCCCGGCTGGGTCACGTGCCACGAGAACGGCTGACGTCGAAAGTTTTTAATAAAAGGATGATCGAGTGGCTACCAGATTTTGCGTTACAAAAGCTTGATGGACTTAAAAAAAAGTAGTGAAAAATATTCATTTTTGATTTTATAGACAACAAGACACACAAGATTGGATCCATGAATTAGATTTGCATTTATCCTGCTAGCTGTGGGCAAAACGAATATTACATAAAATTACATAAATTGGATCAAGAGTAGTGAAAAAGGAATCAAAGTATATTTTGATACTTGACGCATGTCTAAATTGTATCGTTTCAGTTATGGGATGGATCTAAACGGGGCCAGACGAAAGAACGCGACGCGAGAGACGACGAGTACGTTGAAGGCCTGGCTTAACGATCATAAGAAGAATCCTTATCCAACGAAGGGCGAGAAGATCATGTTGGCAATCATCACGAAGATGACTCTGACCCAAGTGTCCACGTGGTTCGCGAACGCGCGGAGACGTTTGAAGAAGGAGAACAAGATGACGTGGGAGCCAAGGAACAGGGTCGAGGACGAGGATAATAATAACGAGGATGACGACAGTGGAAGAAAGAGCGTCGACGAGAAAGATCGGCTAGGTAAGTACAGCAATAAATGCCTCCCCCCTCCTCCCAGGTGTTTCTTCAGTTTTTTTTTTCTCTAATAGCCAAAGATCCACACGAATCATTTTTTCAAACTGGTAAATTCTCGTACCATTTTTTTGGCCAAAATTTTTTAACAAAGAGCACATCACTCGAAAGGAATCCTCAAATGCCTCGCTCCTTTTCTCACCGTCCAAAAGTCCACAAAAATCCACTTCTCTGCCACAGACTCGAAAGACTCTGGCACCGGATCAAGCGAGGACGGCGAGCGGCCGGCGCACCGGATGGACCTCCTCGGCACCAGCGGCGGTTCCACGGGTGTCCAAGGCAGAACCGAGAGCGAATGGAGCGAATCCCGAGCAGACAGCGGTCCAGACAGCCCGGAGTGCCTCTACGACCAAAGAGAACCTCCCAGACACCCTTTGCAGCTACAACATCCCGCCTATCTCGCCTCCTCTCACGGCCGACTGTTGCGCCACCCGTCTCCCGAGAGCACGCCACCTAGCAGTCACCACGTCCCGCCAAGCACAACAGCGTCCTCGACGGGCAGCGGCGTAACCACGAAGCCTAGGATCTGGTCCCTGGCCGACATGGCGAGCAAAGATGGCGAACAGCAGAGCCCGATACCGACCACGATGACAGGTCTCTCATCGCCTTACGGTGGAAGCGGTGGAGCTGGTGGTGGAGGAGTGGCGGGCGGGGGTGGAGGTGGGGGCAAGTTGATGAGCCCTTTGGCCAGTCGCCTGCCGCCTCATCATCCGCTTGCAATGCACTCTGGGACGCAATTTGTTCGACATCATCCGGATTTCTACCGCAACCTGTACGGCGCCTCTCATCTCGGCTCAGGAGACATGTCACTGTTGGAGACTTACTCGAGGACCTTGGGCGGACTGAGCGGTGTCATGCCCCCCTCCACAGCGCCCAGTATACTGACGTCGTCCGCGTCAGCCGTGTCGGCCACTGGTAAACCTTTCTCGATTAACGGTGGCAGCACTGCTCCAGGTGGCGCTGTGCTCCTCACCACAGCGACCTCTGGCCTATCTCCCTCGTCCTCGTCCACGGCGTCCTCGGGTGGGTCGGATCAGTCCCCTCACCCGAGCCTGTCGTCCACGCAGGAGCTCAAGTCACCTGGCCGAGTGTGATTATGAAGGGGTGAGTGTGACGATCACGGACTTTAATATTAAATAAGTTTCGCCGCGCAGGCGTTGTGTGGTGTGTGGATGACAATAATAATCAGAGACTATGATTCTTGTAATTAGTGTACAGTTAACTGGAAACGATATACGAACGACGATATGTAACTGCCCTCACTTAAAACCCATTTGATCCGTTTCCACCGTTCTTAGTCTTCTTCGATCCCCCTCGTTTTGCTTATCCTCATCCTGTGGCGCGAAATTTCGTCTTGGGCCATTTTTAACTTCCTTTCCTTTTCTTTGTATTTTCTCGTGGTTATTTCATTGGATAATAATCCGCGTATCAACATTTCGAAGAAAATTTGAATTTTCTAATTTTTATCTGAATACGAAAAACGAAGAGAAATTATTTACAGTTTTAATTACCACGATTATCGTAATTGAATCCGTTTAATGTTAACGAAAAAATACAGGGAAAAAGGTTTAGAAAAAAATATTGGTCTCTCGAGAAACGAAATTCCTGCCAATTCCTGCTCTCTCTATCCTTCCTTCGTTGTGAGCTTTCTTCCCGACCTCGAATACGAGAATACGTATGTTAAAGGAGAAGAAGAAGAAGTTTGGACATGAACCGATGAAAGGAAATAAAAAAAAAAAAAAAAGGAAAGAAAATGGAGGAATCGTAGGATCGTTTATCACTTCCGTTAGAGCAGCGTCGCGACATAAAAAAAAAAAAAAGAAATCGCGATTTAAAAAAAAAAACAGGAAAAATAAAGAAAAGAAAAAAAACGAAAAGATACACTATCCTAGGCGTGTGTCTACTTTACGACAGGTAATATTATACATAAAAAAAATACAATATATATATAAATACACGATAATAATTAATAATTATTTATGCGTTTGTAAATAGTAGAGAGGGCCCAGTAGAGAGCGTCCGGCCAGTGTATGTATTGTATGTAGAGTAGGTACGATATTATTATTATAATATTGGAGATCATAATTCATACTAACGATGACGACAATGATTATTATTATTATTATTATTATTATTATTATTATTATTATTATTATTATTATTATGGATTATTATTAATATTATTATTGTTATCGCAATGTTTACGACATTATCGATTCACACGTCGACTCTTGTCGATCATGACGAGGTATGGATCGTTTGGATTTAATGTGACAGATTACGGAGGCCGAGCGCGCAACGATGTTTCAAATAAAAAAAAAAAAAAAAAAAAAAAAAAAAAAAAAAAA